GTTTTTCTTTTTGCCATGGCATTGTAAGTTTGTTTTCGACTTATGAGTTTGAATATCCCTTTGGTATCTTTCGCCTCTATTTTAAGATTAGTTATCATAACCTTGATGATGTGTTTCTAATAAACTGTAGAATTGTACCACAAGGAACTTAATAACTAAAAAATCAAATATTGGCAGCAGTTATTATATTTATACTTTTCTCGATTTTGATATTTCAGTTTTAGACGGGAAATTCTATAATTAAATTTACAGAAATGTTTTTCGTTTCTAGTGTAATTTTCTTTTATTATGCTTCTTCTTACGATGCGTAAATTTCTTAACTGATTCGCTATGACCGTGTCTGGAGTAATGTTTTTGATTTGAATAATTAAACGAAATCTGTAAAACTGACAAATTTTAAATTAGGGTTAACACGGTGTTTACTTAAAACCTTTACTTTAATAATTATTTTATAGATGCAAAGATTTTATTTGCACGTTTGGGTGTACCTGTTCAAATCTTATATAACACATTTGATATCAAATCATAATCATTACGGAAATGTTGTTATATGCCTCGTGATTTGAGAATATCCACTTTGAGTTTGTTCCTTTCAATAAATTCATTCTTTAAAATTATCAAGTAAGCATTTTAGTAATATCTTTTAATATTCTCTTTATTGGTACCAACTTTCCAAAATTATAGTATGGGGATATTGGGCAGAAGGACGGCCGGTACCTATTTTGTGTAATCAACCCCAATTACAGTTTTCAACAAGTTTCCCTAAATCTTTGCACACATATTTGAGTTTTGCATATGCTGTTATGGGATAGCTATAGGAATGTTTCCTCATTTTCTCCACACTTGGAAACTTTTAGAAAAATTTACAAAAGATGGTACTTTTGTAATTGACTCACTTAACAGTTTGCAACAAAAATCTTTGAAACTCCACATAATGCATGATTATACACATATTAGAATTGTGCACCTGCTATTATGTATTAATAGTGTGAGAAATTTATTCCCATTTTTCCACACTTAGGAACGAACATAAATACTTTTCAGGAAAATTTACATAAGATTCTACCAGTGTTGTGTAATTAACTCCACCTGCAGTTTCAACCAAAATATTTGAAACTTGATACACGTATTGAAGTTTTGCACTTGCTACTGCTGTTTTGGAACTTTTTAAATTGTTTTTCTTTAATTTTACTTTACAAACTTGTATACTAATTCATTCATCGGCCAAATTTACAGAATATAGTTTATTTTCGGTGGAACCCGACCATTTGTGTCTTGATCATTTTTTTAGTAATGTTTTTAACAACTATTATACTTCTATCCCGGTCAAAATACTTTTGATCCTACATCCTAAAGTAATATTTTGCTAGCAAAGGTGTTACTTTTCACACACTGATCCTGACGTATAAATCCGCCGGACGAGTATTTTTTTACACTTATTTTTGGAGATTTTTTTTTTCTTTTTTATTTAAACTATACAATACTTTTCATTTACTTTGAATACTGTTAAATCGGTTCTTTGTGTCTTATGAATGTATCGCTTTTCAACTGATTTTACAGTTTATTTGTATGTTGTTACATCACTGTCCCAAGTTTAATGAGTTGTGCGCTTACAAACATTAAAACTTTTCCACATTCTGTGTGTATTTTTCCCAACCTGTTCATGTTGTTGTGGTCGGTTTCTGTCTGTCATATTTTATTCTCATTGCTGTAGAATAGAACTGGTAGTCAGTTTTCTCGTTTAATATATTTTCACTATTTTAGACAGAGGCCTTTTATAGTCTACTGTTTAGGATGGATTTTGCTCCTTGTTGAAGTCCGTGCTCTGATCCGTAATTGTTTATTCTTTAGTTTTTATGAACGGTTTTCTCATTTGCTATCATTCCAAATCCCTTATATATATATTCGGTTCTGTTATGTGCAGAGTGTCTGATATAATCCCAATTTTGCACAGTAATTGAAAAATTAAAATGAGCGTACTCTGGCGAATAGCTGTAAGATATCGCAAGTGGATTAAAACTGTAGTGCGTATTTGTATAGCAAGACATTGGATTTAACGTTCCAAGTCTTTACGTAAAACAGTCATTGAGACAAAATTGTTAAAAGACACATTCTGGTATAAATCATAAAAAAAACATAGGCTGTAATTCAGTGGTTGTCGGTGGTTGCTATATATCTTTATTGATTCTTTTTTTTTGGTTATAAATCGGGACGTCAATTTTCTCGTTTTCTCATATTTTTCATTTGGTCATTTCTTTTCATAGGTTTCTATACGATATGGGTTTTGCTCATTGTTGAAAGCCCTATGGTTACCTTTATTTGCTTCTTTCTACATCATTAGGTCTCTGGTGGATGTTTGTCTCATTGGTAATCATACCACATCTACTTATTTTCATATGCTATGTTTTATTTCACAATTAGATTAAACGTCACAATTTTGAATTATTATTAAAATAAAAGTAAATGCATTTAAATGTGTTGGCACTTAATGTTAATATCTTATCATAGCAAATAATAAAACCAAACAACGAATAAAGATTATAAGTTAAAAAATATAGACAGGTTTTTCCAAATATCTGCCTTAGTTTGTGACGCGACTCCTAGGCGTCGTTGTAGTACGATCGCCATTACAACCGTGAAAAAAATGTAAACAAGATATACATCTATTTCCCAGACCGAATATGATTAACGTAAACACAAGAATGTGAAGCGTACTTGACCTCGGCAAAATTACAAAATAAGTAATAAAGTAATTAGATAAGGAATGGACATTAAAATTATAAGTGTATTGCAGGCCAGGTGTTGTGTCCTTAAAATATAACTCATTTTATTTGATACGTTAGAACCGGGACATAATATTTGCGAATACGAATCCCAGGTTACATATCGATTATAATCATTTGGTAATCATAATATTGATTATTATAACACATACATAAATAAAAATAAATAGTCTTACGGGTCGAATGTGATATATCAGAATAGAAAAACCAGGTGCAATTTTATCAAACTCATAGACATTTCTGTAGTCATGCAAACCTATAATGAGGCAGTCCTAAAATTCAACAATCTTCTAACCCGACGGTCCTATATTCGACAGCTCGTTTTCTCCGGCGCGCGGTTACTTACATCTTCCGAAAAATATACCTATAGACATGTACCGTTTGATGATAAACTTTTTCACAGAAACGATTTTTTTTGCTTGTTTTCGACTCACGTATACTGCTCAAAATTGAGTGACGTTTTCGTATCACTTTTGTCTCCGCATGAATTGCGCTATATGCTATCAGTGCGTCGGCCATATGTAGACTTGTGCTGCGTTCACACGTAATTCGAATTCGATTCGCATTAACTAATTCGAATTAGTTTAATTCGCATTCGAAACGTTTTACGTCTAAACGTAAATTCTAATTCGAATTAAAATGTGCGTCAAATTCGCTTTACTGTCCAAACGACGTTAACTTTTAATTCGTATTAACAAAAACGCATTTCTAATGCGAATTGGATAATGCAATTTAACCAATTCGAATCAATTCGATTTAAAAAAGAAGAGTGTGTGAAAGCGATTAGCGAATTCGATTCGCATTCGATGCGAATTCAATTCGAATTAAATGTACGTGTGAACGAGGCATTAACTTTGCGATTTAATTGGGCCGAAGAAGTTTTGAACTTTCACGCCCCATGTTATCATATAGTTATCAGGTGTTCGATTCCAATTTCTTTTGTAGAAAAATTACTTAACATGAAACAACTAGTATGCATAGTATAACATCATGCTCCGGTCCGTGCTGAAAATAAATGAATGTCATTAAACCACAAAAGACACAAACGTGTAAATTAAAAGCAATGATCAGAATTATGTTTTAAAAGCGTCATTTAGTGTTTTGCTAATTTCCCCCTCCCCACCACCCCAAAACAGAGATCTCGTATATTTTCATCCTGAATCTGTATTAGACTCCTTTATAAGTCCCCGATATATATAATACAGTGAAATACAGAATTACAGTATTACATTAGGGATGTATATTGGACCATCCGACTAAAGTGAATATACTTTAAGCACACCCACCCGGCACCCAACGTCATTTCAACGTTGAAATGTGGTTGATATTTCGTCATGACGTTGCTTCAACGTTGTTTCAACGTTGTAACAGCAATGTCGAAGTTATGTTGCAGAAAGTAGGTTGATTCAACGTTGAATTTTAGTTTGAATTTTCAATGTTGAAGTTAGGTTGAAATAAATATGTTGTTTCAACGTTAAATGTTGGTTGACATGTCGACGATGGAGGTTCGTCCAGAAAAAAATTGTATGCATCGGTGTAAAAAATTATCCACCATCAGCGTTAAAGGTGAATCATTATAGTTGTACATTCTTTGTTTTTGTACCAACAAAAGTTAATAAATTAGATTTTGCTATGAAAAATTGTAATCAATGTTTCCTTTCATTTTTTTTTGTACAATATCTAGTAAAATTAGGAATATTCCAAAACCGGGACGTTTATCAAAATCATAAAAGTGTACAAATTTAAATTATCATTCATCGAAATATGCTACTAACTTATTTGTTATTATCCGGAAATATTTTAATCAAAGATAAGACACAGCATGTGAAAGTGCGGCATCTACACAACTGATACACGAGGATTAGCACTCCCAATAATCTATTGATAAAATTATCACGTGACATGATGCTGATTAATGTATGACCACACGTGTGTGACCGCCTTTTTCAAACGCGGAAATTGTATAATTTTCCTGGACAATATTTAGGACCGTTTTCAGCAAAGAAAAATTCATAGAAATGTAAGTGTTTCTTTAAATTATTATCTGTTGCTGTATTAATTGTCTTTTAATGCTTGTGTGATGTTAACATTGGGAGATTATAAATGCACAAACGTACGTGTATATTTTGAAAATCTCGCCATAGTGCATGTAGTGTATGTTGTAAAGATAACATTACTGACCTCAGTGTGTACATCGTCATGTTTGTTGTACGTTCAAATTTATGACTGCACTTCTATATAAATATGTACTACAATCTGGAAACACCATCCTCAGCCTACATACAGCTCATTTTAGTTATTTACTGCTGATTTGTTAAAGAAAAGGAACTTTTGCGAAGTAAGATTATCATCTCCCCCTTTGTTATCTAAAATTTTAACCCGTCATCCATAATCACACTATTTTAATTATTGTCAACTATGCTCTGAAATTTTTAATAATTTCTTTTTACTCTTCAATCGAATTTTACAAATTTAAAATATTGCTTGGCGATGATGATGAAGGATAAAAGTAATAGCTGTCAAGGTATGTATTTTTTTTTAAATTTTTAACATTTTGATTATCAATAATCAGTTTGTATGTTAAATTGCCTGTGTTGTTTGTGTGAACTTTGTGATTTGAATTGATTTATATGCTCTATATGGGCCCTTTAATTAGGAATACTAGTAAAGACATTTGATTTGATTTGATTTTATTTGGATTAATATTTTTTTAATGCATATCAAATTTAAAACATAACCTCTGCAATCAATAAGACAGGTGGTATTGTTACAATAGATCCTGGTGTTCGAGATGGGTGGCATTGTTACAATAGATCTTGGTATTCAAGACGGGTGGCATTGTTACAATATATCCTGGTGCTCGAAATAGGTGGCATTTTAACAGTAGATCATGATGCTCGAGATGGGTGGCATTGTTACAATAGATCATGGTGCTCGAGATGGGTGGCATTGTTACAATAGATCCTGGTGCTCGAGATGGGTGGCATTGTTACAATAGATCCTGGTGCTTGAGATGGGTGGCATTTTAACAATAGATCCTGGTGCTCGAGATGGGTGGCATTGTTACAATAGATCCTGGTGCTTGAGATGGGTGGCATTGTTACAATAGATCCTGGTGCTCGAGATGGGCGGCATTTGTACAATAGATCCTGGTTCTCGAGATAGGTGGCATTTTAACAATAGATCCTGGTGCTCGAGATGGGTGACATTGTTACAATAGATCCTGGTGCTCTTGATGGGTGGCATTGTTACAATAGATCCTGGTGCTTGAGATGGGTGGCATTGTTACAATAGATCGTGGTGACCGAAATAGGTGGCATTTGAACAATAGATCGTGGTGCTCGAGATAGGCGGCATTGCTACATTGTACATGTACAGGAGCGAAAAAAATGGTAAAAACGGATCCGTTTTTATATAAACCAGTAAATTATTTAAAAAAAAACCTATATAACATTTTATTCCCTGCCTTTGACGTTCTACGTAATTGCTAAGTCATGTTTACAAAATATTATTTGTGTTTGTTTTTTTCAGGAAGAGTAATGGAGGCCTACACAAAGATAACAGAAGCTGAATTTAAGGAGGATTGTGCAACAGAAATGGTTGGAGGAGTTTAGAGACTACAATTCATTTTCACGAAAATAATAAAAATTGATTAAGAGATTATTTGTATTCATTTACCAGATCAACTTTTGGCTATATTTAATTTAGCTTTTGTCATAACTTGACATCTGTTGTACTGTTTTTTTTTTTCAAATCTTGCTGATGTCCTCTGTAGAGTCATGTGGCTTCAATATCTTGTGTGGTTACTAACTATTATAGATATAAGAAGATGTGGTATGATTTCCAATGAGACAAATATCCACCAGAGTCCAATTGACGTGGAGGTCACTAAACGGACTTCAACAATAAGCACACACCACACCGTATATACCGCAATAGAAGACCCGGACACAATACACCCTTCAATAATCAATTCAAACGAGAAAAACCAACCGCCTAAATTTGTAACGACAAACACATGTGACAGATGAACCAACAACAAGCAACGCATTGCTTATTTCAACATGAAAGAATGTTGTTGCAATATTAGGGTGACGTTGTTTCAATGTTAAGTTTCAACCTATATTCAATAAAAAATCAACGTTGATACAATGTTGAAAATATAACGTTGTTTCAACGTCAGATATTCAACGTTTTATCATCCTTCCCTACCGCTATATCAGCTTCCTCAACATATCTGTAAAACTCAGTTAGCGCGTGCAAGTGAGGAGACATTATCAAGTGAGCAGGACTTATCAACAAATTCTCCCAACATATTGCCTTGTATTGTAATGGTGATAAGTCACCAAATAAATTCTTTTAATAAAATAAATTACACTTGCAGTACATATTTTACAATGAACCATTTCTTTCTTCCTAAAATTACTTTACATTCTGAAACGAGATGTTGATAAAATGGTGTCGACGGCAGTCTTGATAAGTTCTGCCGGGACTACTTTTTTTCAAAACTGAACTATTTGACCTAATTTGAACTATTGATCTGACCTGTATTGAGATCAATCTATCGATACAAATGTCAACAATGCGGGGGTGGCAGTTTAAATTATTAAAAACATTTATAGTGAACATAAATCTGACTTTCTCAAATTAACTTCTTGTTTTACGAATTACGACTACTTAAATATATATGTGTACTTTTAGTCTTGAAAACAAACAGCATTGTGATGCGTTTCTGACATTTTTTATGAAGCGTATGCTGTTCAGCAGTCATCGAGTAGAAATTTTCTTCTTCTGGTGATATGAAATACTACGATCTTTCAATATAATCTTTAATATTTCTTTTTTTTTTAGTATCATCTTCAAATATTATACTCTCATATATGCATTATCATGTACACGAAACATTTTTCTTCCTCTAGTTAATGGGAATATTTTACCCTGCGTATTTTGGCCACAAGGTGTATCCGCGGTTTAATATTTTGATGACGTGTGTTGCCTAGTAATAACAGAGACACTCTGGTAACTCTGGTAATAACAATTCCCGCGAAATTATTGAAAAAGGAAATTTTGATAAAAAAACATTGCTTTGAAAGATGATAAAAATGTAATCTGAATGTGGATTGTATAGATATTGAAAAATATCAGCCCCCTCGACAGAATATGAAGCTAAATGGCTCGTTCGCTACGCTCACTCGACATTTAGCTTCATATTTTGGCTCGCGGGCTGATATTTTTCTATATCTACATATCCACATCCAGATAACATGTAGTGTCAACTTTTAAAACCAACCGTTATTTCAACGTCTTTTCAACGTTACAGATCAACGTTGATTCAACGTTGTTACAACGTTGAAATGCCTGCTGGGCACATTCCTTCATATATGGACCATTAAGACGTGGTTTATAGAGAAGTGCCCTTAATAGTAAGTTTTGCGGTGATTTGTCTATGGATGCAGCTGTTTCAATTAAAGTTTTTCAGCAAGAACTGGCACCCAGGAATACAATAGTTTACTAGCCTTACTTTTCGAAATATGGAAGCGCCGTCCCAAATAACCAAACAACAAACTAAGTGTTAACCTTTAAATCAGTACGATCGAGCAACAGCTGATCTGCAATATCGTAGTTGAAAAGTAAATTGTGTATTTATTCCACTAAAGTACCGAAAACTTAGTTACATAAGACAAGTATACAATAAGGCGTAACTGTCATTCATGATATGTCTATTTATACGCTGACGTGGTTTCCTGATTTTATTCAATTTTGAACTCCTTACTCCTCTGTTAACAATATGTTTGTCTGAGTTAATGTTGTCGGAACGTCTGTCCATTTTGCAGCCTAAAGATAGTCGTCATGTATAAAAAAAAATCGTCTCTTCATACTTGTTTGATTTGCATCCAATTATAACTACATGCATGTAGCCTCGGGGTAGGTTTCATTATTATTATATAAAGAAATGTGCAGGAACGGATTTAGGGGGTGCCCAGGCCCCCTTATGAAGCTTTATTCATGGTTAATTCAGGCTTTTTATCGCTTCCACTACAAATTGTATCTTGTTTGTGGACCCACGGCCCCCCTTTCAAAATCCTGGATCCATCTAATGTGTAGATCTTCTATACAAACAGAGCGGGCAGATGCACTGTAGTCATCGGATTAATTTTCATAGATAATTTCGTTTGACGACGTGTCAACATTCGTCTGCCAGTGTAATTTTACTTTCATAAAAAGTTTTATTAAAAAAAAAAGATTGTGTGCAGTCGGCACAACTTGTATAGTTCACATATTTTATTTATTGATTTTTTTTTTGCACATCTGAAATTTTCTACAATTATTTGGACAAATATTAACTGCACAAGAAATGCCTCCACCTTTTTTTTTTATAACTTTCGGCAGTATCCATAGTGAAATAAGTAAGAAAATGGAGGAAATACAAATGTTAACAGAAAATCGATAATGTTTTGATCAATACACGTGCGTTATTTTTCACGGTTGTAATGGCGGATCGGTCACGTGAGAGGTTAATGGATGCGCCCATGTTTTCTAGGTCAATTATAGATAAACCCGTCTATATTTAAAAATAATAACTTCAGTATATACATGTAACACTAATAAAAAAAATAACAATATACTACCTCTGCATTTTAAAAACTCTTATTAGTAGATCGAATTTCCAATGAAATCATAAATTGACTTCCAGGCTTCTTCATACTGTGGAAAGCTGACAGTTACCAGCAAAGGAATCCAGTAAGTGGCAGCTACATAGAATTAACATACACCGGAAGAAATACAATCACCCTAATGCGAAGTTCAAAAAAAGTATTAACCGTCAACATTGCTTAGAATAAGTATCTGTGCCTGAACACCGTTTATAAATGATATTATTCTAAAATTATAGACTAAACATTTTTGTGAGTTCTGAGAAAACTTCCACTGCCACAATATGTGAATATCTATTTCGTTTGGTGAACAACATTATGTACTGTAATATTCATATACGTCCGTGATACACAGATTAAATCAAGCATGAAAACTAACAAAGTCATTTGGAATATGAAATCAAGAATTTTAGGTCTTTTTATAATAATGTGAGTTCGAGTTTAAACTTTTTTTACAAACTAACATACTTTTCCCGCTACTCATTTCTCTTTTGAAATTAAAATGATAGTGAACCGGTACCTCTAATTTTACACAATTTTTTTCCGTTCACATTGATCAATGTATGAGTAAAATGTGTGGTACCATTCATGGAAAAATCACAACAACATCATGCAACAGGTTCTAAATAGTTGTCTTTGTCGGAATTTCTTCATGCTACATTTGCCTCTGCATAATGTACTTCCACCTCCGGTATTGTATGGTAATACTGTTCAGGTACCAGATAACCTTGGTAATCCATTGTGTTTTCTGATGTATCCATTATCCCTTCATGACGGTTTGCTCTCAGTTGTGACACGTTGTCAGACAGTTCCTTATATCCAGAATCATTTCCCTCTTCGTTAGTATCTTCTATTCCAGTGTAGGTTGAAAATTCTGTACCAGGTAACCTTTCATTTACTTTCTTAAGTCTTTCTTGATAAGTGCAAAATCTGTAAAAATATGTTTGTAGTAAGCCATTGCTGCCTAATTTGTGATAATTTCCCTAGATAGCAGATACATCAAGTGAAAAGGAAATCGTAATTTTTCAAAATTAGTTTTTCATAAGAGGTACACTGAAAGATAAGAAGAGGTGGGATAAAAAAAAGAGAAATTTAACTGCACTCACTAGACAGTCGTAATAACTAAACGTCAAAAATTTCGTTAAAATGACACAACACAGTGTATATTGGACTACATATAATATAGGAAAAAGATGGAACGTTTGTAAGCTTTTCCAAATATTAAATCCAAGTGGTATGATATTTATATATATATATATATTAGCTTAACATACTTACCGTCTGAATGCTTTAATACTGATTATAACCATAACAAATATCAGGATAATAACAAACAGACTGACTGCTAGTACAACTACAATAACAGAGACATTTTACATCATAAAAGCAACAACTGTCTTAAATGAAATAGCTTCAAAAGCAAACACAAATTATTATTCTCGGGAATTTTGTCTAAGTGTTATGACAAAAGGCTGATTATTGATAGATTCTACATTACAGTGGGATTTCATATTTCTGCGTTTGCGATAGCCAATTTTACAATTGACAAACAGTATGCTCTTAATCTATATGGTTCAACAACGAACAAAATGGATATTCATTAATGTAAAACAATTAATAGCTGTTAACAAGTGAACACCACTAAAATTGTAAAAGTATTCATAACCATAATCGAAAAATATACATTTACACAACTGCATTGAGAGCACACATACATGCGAGGTTCATCAGTGTGTTATTACTTCTCCAACATTATTTTATCCATACAAGTAAATATTTTTTTAATAATGGGCAATAAGGATTAAAGAAAAAGTATAACAAAATAAACGAACTCCAAGGCAAATTCCAAAAAGAGGAAGTCCATAAAAACTGACAAAATCGAATGCTATCAATCAACGGAACAAGAGAAAAGCAACTGCCATATTCCTGACTTGGTACAGGCATTTTCCGAAGAAAATGGTGGGTTAAACCTGGTTTTATAGCTAGCTAAACCTACCACTTGTATGACAGTTGTTGATAGTTTCGTTATATTGACAAAATTGGGTAAGCAATCCATAAAAACGTCATAGGTTAATGTGACAATAATTGGGATCCAGCAGCCAAAACCATGTAAACATATATTACAGACATACAGCACAACTGACAACAAAATTCAAACAAACATACAAATTAATCTTACAAAGACGCCAACAAAAAGGTGTAGTAGATAGTAATTAACTTATCATAGATGCCAGTATTAAAATTTTGTAAGCCAGACGCGCGTTTCATCTACAAAAGACTCATCACTGACGTAATTTTGACAATGACGGTCACAAAAAAAAAAAAAAAAAAAAATTGTCGTTGATAGTACATACCGTATTTAGTATATACTTTCTCGATAAGTAAAAATTAAGTAAATATAAATACAAAGGTAAACAAAAAAGAAATAACACTTTAAAAACCCTTTGTGTCCGAATCGCACCTCAGGACCCACCTGCACCTGAAATATCCATAGTTTAAAAGTCAAAAACCCGATGGCGGGATGCATAAAAACCGAGTCACGTTAAAAGTCATACGACTAAAAGAAACATAATAGCACAAAGACAAATAACGGGTAAACTAATGTAAAATAAAAAGATATACAATTTCAGCACCTAGAATCAATAACTCCAGACCGTCTCAAGAATCTCTAGTTCAGGAAGATATATTAACGGGATCCAATCAAACAAGTTTGGATTGTTAATTGAAAGAACATCATCAATATACCTATATGTGAAATTAAATAATCTAGCTTCTTTGACCTTCTAGTTTTTTAATAGTGTCTGAAGGAACTCCGACTCATATGAAAATAAGAAAAGAGAAAGGCAAGGAGAGTTAGTTCCCATGGGAATGCCGACAACCTGCTCGAAAATTCTACCCCAATTTTCAACAAATATGTTGTTAATGAAAAACTCAGGCATACTGATCACTGACGATTATTGCTTTAAGACGGGTTTTAAATTTTTCATGTGGTATGAAATACCGTAGTGAAATTTACCTGTTACATGAGTTTTATATTAATTACTTCGTATATGAGTAAATCTGTGAATCAGTGATCTGACAGTGGAAAAAACTCAACCCTAGGAAATAATTATTTCAGTTGTATTTATGATATAAAAAGACACCATACGGACTCTTTATTTAATTTTCTGGTTTGTATTATACAAAATGTGAGACGTAAAGAGAATATTAAATTGAATTGAACTGAAGATATTATTCAAGGTGTAATATGAAAATTTTATTATACATCATAAACAGATTGTACTATACCTTCCCAATAACAGCAAATTTTATAAACACTAATAGCCTCTAATGTTTGACACGTGGTAAATGTTTGATAAACGTGTATGAATTATATTTTTCATATGTTGAATTTCCGTGAAGAGACTGGTTTCTATACCTAAAAGGAGTTATTCATTTCAGAACGATAGATCTTTCTTTTGAAGAAACAACCCGGATAATACAAAGGTTCAATGACATGCGTTTTATGGCTAAATAATAATGACCTGGGTAAGGTCATTATTCACCCGGAATTATATGCATATAATTCTTTGATTTTACAGTGATAATGTGTTTCCGGTCTAAAAAGCGCTTCGGACGCATGAAATTTATTATGTGTTGTTTTCATATCTTACAGCACTTGGTCGATACCGCTACTGGTGGATTATTAGTCCAAGATGGTATCATCAGTTCAGTAGTCAAAACTTCGGTACTGTCAGGATTTATACCAAACCTTTCTTAAATTGTCCGTTTATAAATTTATAAATTATTGAGAAACTAAGGTTTCAACTCTCACAGACAAACTCGACCATAGATGGATTGCCTATTATCTTAGGTTCATTTTGATCGTGTAGCTCTTCAACTATTTTGGATCTTATACATCCTTGGCTTTCAAATATTCGGATTTGAACTTTCCTGATGAAGGTTGATTTATAAAAGCGCTTCGGACAGATGTAATTTATTAAGTTGATGTTTTCCTTTTTTCAGCACTTGGTCGATATTGCTGCTGGTTGACTATCCGTTTCCGAGGGTATCATCAGCTCAGTACGCAGTATTGACATGATTCATAACAAACCTTTCTCAAATTGTCAGTTTACAGATTTATAAATTATTAAGAAATTAAAGTTTCAACTCCCTCTGGCAAAGTTAACGACGATTATTTCTAGGTCCTCTTTGGTCATATAGCTATTCAACTGTTTGTGCACTTTGAGCACTCCTAATGAAGGAAAATCAAATCCAGAAAAGCGCGTCGGATGCATGAAATTTATAAAGTGTTGGTCTCATATTTAACAGCAATGGGTCGATTCTGCTGCTAGTGGACTATCAGTCTCTTATGGTATCATGAGCTAAGTAGTCAATACTTCGGTACTGCCTTGATTTATAAAAAACCTTTCTTAAATTGTCGATCTCTAAATTTAGAAATTATTTTTTGTTCATATAGCTCTTCAACTGTTTTGGACCTTGTACATCCTTTCCTTTCCATTATTTGACTTTGAGCGTTTCTGGTGAAGGTTATTCAGAAAAGCGCCTAGGATGCATGAAATTTTTAAAGTGTTATTTCCCTTTTTTACAGCCTTGGGTCAATACTACTTCTGGTAGAATATCAGTCCCCGAGGTATCATCAGTTCAAAAGTCAGTTCCTCGGTATTGACATGATTTATAGGAAACCTTTTTAAAACTGTCCGTTTATAAATTATTCAGAAACTGAGGAATCAACTCCTTCAGGCAACGTTGACCTTAGGTGGTTTTTGGATATTATTTTTATATCTTTTTGTATCATACAGCTCCTCAACTGTTTTGGATTTGATACATCCTTGGCTTTCAATTTTTCGGCTATGGGCGTTCTTGGTAAAGGCATATCCAGAAAAAAACACTTCGGACGCATAAAATTTATAAAGTGTTGTTTTTATTTGTTTTTATTTATTGACAATGATAAGCATCACCACAAGAAGTCTATACTCATCAAAAAAGGCTACCATTTCAACAATGTCCATAGACAGATGTGTTAGCGAGACCAAAGTTGTTAAAAATTTTCAAAATCAATCTATTCTACCAACTGACATAACGAAATAATTAAAAAACAGAAAAAGTAAATAGAGGTGTGTTAATTTCTATTCTAATATGACGTCCTTATTTCACTTTGTAAAAAAAGCCGTGTTCTAATTAGGACAAAATATATTTGACACATGCGAACAAACTTACTGTTTACATTCTTGTTATTTTCATTTGTACCCTAATAAAATATATATTTTTAGCTGCTTACATAAAATTTATTGTATATTGTTATTCAGACAACATATATTTACCTTGAAATTAGTTTTTGAACTTATTGAATATGAAAATGTAATGTACATACTTCATGGGGAGGATAAAAATACCGTTTTTTTCTCTATTAGAATCGAAATAATTCCTTCATGTCATGCTCTATGGTCATTTCAACATTGGTAGGCATTATATTTGACCATATTTTACACCCCATAATGCTCGGTGTAAAATATCGACAAATTTAACGCCTATCCATGTTAAAATGACCATAGAGCATGACATGAAGGAATTATTTCTTAATCAGGACAACACTTAAATGCACCGAAAAAGCTGCAAGTGTGATCATATTGACTAAAGTACAGAGAAAAGGAGTAATAACCCCGATATTGAATTATTCAACATTTATCAAAAAGGGACCATAGAAAACACGAAAAGTGTTCAAAGATCACTCAGCAAGATCGATATTAACAGCAACAATATTATATTGATGGGCGACTTCAATCTCCTGAATATCAGTTTCAAAAACTGAACAATCAAATCATCACCCTCAATGGTACAAATATAAACCATAATATGTTGGGTATAATAATCATTAAATTGGATGATTAATAAACTCATCATAGATACCAGGATTAAAATTTTGTACATCAGACGCGCGTTTCATTTACTAAAGTTTATGTTATGACGTGAATGAACTTAAGAACACCTTAAACCGAAATACTTAATGTGTATGTTTCCTTTTGTGACACATTAAGTGATACCTTGTTGTTGACATGTTTAAGATAAAACAACTTAAAAAATGGAGAAATCTAATGTTTTATGTAATTTATTAGGATACAGAGGCAAAAGATACCAAAACGATATACAAACTCACAAGTTGATAACAATAGTGAAGCAATTTCGAATTTCGGTTTTTTTAAAAATAAGATTTGAAATCATCAAATATTCAAATTATTTTATGTCACTTTATCCACTGGCAAATGAGATGTTGAATTGTACTGTACAGATCAGTCTGAAACCTACCTGTATACTGCAAGAGGAAAGTTATCTACTATAGGAATTCAAACAAAATTACTCATTTTTTTCTAATTTAATGAAAAGGAATATATATCTTATGAATACAATTATGCTAATTATCTTAATATTTCAACTGTTCTTACAATTGCAGATTAGTTTTTGTTTGACTCAAATTTATTTAACGTAGCTATATGAGGGAGATAACTCAGATAACTATATACAGCAATGTCTAGTAAATTTAGCTTGACTGTTTGTTTCGTAGCAAGAAAACAAACGAGTTCCGTGACCCCAATTTTCCCTTTTCTTTTCAGAAAGCACACTATTAGAGCTATCTTTTTTTTTTAAAGTCGTCTTTCGTTTTTTTTATTGACACCAAAGTGTTTTTCCCATCTATAAATTATACAGAACCTAACAATTTTGCATAACCTGATGCTTGAAAAATAGTTCCGTGACCCAATTTTCTTATAAAACGTATTTAGAAAAAAGAATGATATAAACTTTATTTTGGCATCTACATTAAATCAGTTACGAAACATGTCTTTGTTCGTACTTCTCTCATAGATCTATACTTCATCAATCTTGTTGTTCAATCTTTAACATTTTTTCTGTAAAATAGTGTTGTGTGGACTAAAAGATAATTAGCATAGATAATTAGCATAATTTTCTTCATAAGATATATATTCCTTTTTATTAAATGAGAAAAAATTGAGTAATTTTGTTTGAATTCATATAGTAGATGACTTTCCTCTTGCAGTATTTTTGCTTTTTATTTATTTTAGCTATGGTCATGATGGTGTTGTCTGTATTGTTTTCAATTACGATTCTTGATGTTCCCTGGGTAATTCCTACATATTACATAGAAAACAACTTACCAGATGTAGGAAGAGTTATAAAACGTGGAAATCTTTTATTCGATGTACTGTTCTCGATCGTATTCTTCTTTTCTAAAAATATAAGTACTACTTCATTTACACTTTATCAACATTTTTTGTGAGTAAGATATACATACATTTTTGGAAGAGATAAAAGGTAAAAATACTTATGTTAAACGTATTTGTTTCAACCAATAACCGTTTCCTTATATATGCATAGCTTAAATCTGATTTTATAGAAGAAGAAAAAACATTTGTCAACATTCGATATAGTTTTTGAATCAGAACCGATCAAGGAAATGTTCATTCGTTACAAAGTTTTTTTTATAACATAAAGCTTCATGCATTGCGATAGTTTAGAAATTATATACATCTTTTTAGTATTGAACTATTGCAATGATGTAATCGTTCATAACTGTATCCTTTAATTGATAGTTGTTTCATTGACAACCTTTCCAAATCTCAGTTTGTTTTAACCCAGGGGACAATCAAAGACGAAACAACCGGTGAAAGGGATAAAAACCTTGTGATGAAAATCAAGCCACGGCGGACAGCCCATAACTTATATGTACATTTGGCATGGACACCTATATATTGATGAAGACTGATATGTCTTTTATGTCTTTCATCTTTGGGTTGCTGTTTCAGTCGCGTAAACAACACATATTTTTTTATATTTAATGAAATCAAGAATATGTGATCAGCACGTTTTGAAGTCATATATATATTTCTGGATTTTCAGGAATATATACCATTTCTGTAACCTAGATATGGAAAATCAAGTATCCTTTTCCTTCAAGTTGCGCTTTATTTTCCTTTCATTTTGTATGAAATCTCAAACATCAATGGTATACATTTAACGATCAGAAAAAATGGAATTAACGCGTCATTTATAATGACTACTGAAGAAAGCCAGATATACCAAAACCCTACTTTCAGATTAAATTTTAAAAAACTTTTAACTTTTTTTCAGAGATAATAGTTTCATTTTTAACACACAACGTTATATATTATTTGTGATCAGGTGTCATAATTTTTAGTTGACAAAGTATAGCTTCAAAGGTATTTCAAAATACAAATGTTATTATTGCTAAAATTAAACTTTTACTTGTACGTGATATTCCTGATATATCATGCACCGTTATGATGAATAAACCGTACGTTTGCAACTTGTGTTACAAAGTATTTGCATAAATTAACTGAGACATTTTGTCAGTGTCACCTTTCAGTTCTAATGTAAGCTAAGCTAGCAAAAAACTGATCAAAATTACTTGGCTTATAATTTGGAAGTTATTTTTCACTTGTACCATTGATTGATAGCGGTTGATTTTGTCAGTTTTTATGAACCCCCTTTTTGAATTTGACTTGGAGTTCAGTATTTTGTTATACTTTTTTGGTGCGTTTCATCAAATACGTCAAATCAAATATGAAGTGGAAGAGCATTTTAAATGACAATTCCAAAAAGTTGTGACAAATAAGGCTAAGGCAATATGGGAGTAGAAAAATATTATTGTTGAATAATTCAACATTTTATAAACAATAAATTTACAGAAAATGAACATATCAATGACATTTCATGTCAACACAAAAATGCTGACTACCGGACTGATGACGAAACGTCACAGTAGCATCGACTCAGTGGTTGTTTCAACTCATCAAAGATACCCGGCAACTCACTCCTGCATGGTTGATGTTAGACAAGCTTGTTGTTTTAAAAGCATCTTTGATTTTTGTGCCCTCTAACGTGTTTTTTTTTTTTTTTTGGTTTTATATTGTTAACGTCTTCATTGTCCCATATGACTGGTTGATTGGTATTTCACGCCACTTTCAGCACTTTTGCGCTATTTCGTGGTGGTCAGTTAAGTTTTTATTGGTAGAGGAAGTTGGAGTTCCCGGAGAGATCCACCGATCTTCGGTACGAAAACTGACAATCCTAGTCAATTAAGATTGCATTCGAACGCACCTGCCACATGCCGGATTCAAACTCACCACCTCAGCGTTAGCAAAACTAAACACTTACGTTTTCTTAAACAAAGGAATGGAAACTGAGATGTACAATTTTCCACTGTAAAATAGTTATTCTCCACAGTAAAATAGTTAATTTCCACTTTTGACACGGCAAGACACAAATCTTTTCCTGTAAGTTTTCCTGTCAATATAAAATATCATTATTCCCGCATTTTCCCCCATGAGCAACACGACAGCAGCCACCAGGTTTGCAGGAGTTGTCTTCCTTCCCACAGCACTTGGATTTTTAAAACTATGTAATAGTTGAGTATAATCGTGATTACTGTTTTATACTAAATAAAACATGTAAAACACCACAACAGATTCATCTAAGTTAAGCATTTATTTTGTATGAAAATTAATGGCAACACCAATAAACATGGGAAAATACTTGAAAGAAAAAATACCGATGAATGATTTAAATAGTTTATTAACAATAGATTAAGGAAGAAAAATACCGAATGATGATTTGAATAGATAATTCCCACTAGATCACGGCCGACACTCGGCTAACCGAGAGATTGGTTGGTTAATCTATATTGAGTATGCGGCTATATGGGCAGTTGGTCTGTTAATCGGGTCGGTTATACGTCTGTTAAGAGTATAACGCACAATTTAAATGTTCAACTCTGTTAAATATACAGATTTTTGGCATATTATAAGAACCAGTTAAAAAAAAGAAAAGTGTCTGACAAAATGATATCTATCATAGAACATTTTCCACCTGTAAAAACATTTCATAGTCTGCGATAACTTCAGTAAAACTAAAAGGCGTTGCGCAAGTATGTGGTATTTATGCTTATACGCATAGCAATTGTTTTAATAAAAGGCGAAACAAACAATTTTAGATATCATTTAAAGGACACAGAATAGTACTTTGGTTCTAAAAATAAATTGACATTAGTAAATATTTCATAATTGTAATATAACGTGAGTAATACCACGTTTTAGTGACTATTAAGGGAATAAAGTCTGTTAATGGGTTGGACAATTAAAATTGTGTCAGTTAAGAGTTATTTAGCCACGACAATAGTTTTGCTACCTTTATAATTTCCCATTAAAAAAGTTAAGAATGAGATGTACTTGAGTAAAAAAAAATGACAATACGGTGCAACAGTATCCTTGTAGTAAGAGCATTTTTATTTTGATTTTCTTTGCATTTTATTGAAAGGTGTGTCACTGCAATATAGCGTGATATGGATTGGCCGCTGGAATATGCATGAATTTATTATTAACGTTTTCAATCAGCCTTGATTTTTGTGTCTGTTTAAAGAAGCACGTTCAAAAATCCGACTGAAAGTGTCTGTCTTATACAACACCGGATACATATAGCGTGTTGTCGTTCTCATATGGACATGATATTTGCCACTGGACGTTAAACCCTAATTCGTCAGCATCATCCAATTAGTTCTTTTGTTCTATTACTTAATCATATGTTGTTTACAAAACATTCTAAAGAAGTAAATGGAAAGAAGCGAATGCAGCTACATTTGATTATCTTAAGTTTTAATTCATTTAATTCCGTTTAGTTCCTTTCTACATAAGTGCAGAGGAGAACTGCAGTTGTGCGCTTGTAAAATTCTAGCATTTGTCACCAATTTGAGTACATCGCAATCCGTTACTGTTTCAACCACCCCCTCCCCCTGAAATTTTGTTTTGTTTGCACTTTACAATATTTACTGAGCTATCAGATTCAGCGGTTGACAGGAGGCCAATGTTTATCGGACTCCAGTCTCAAATAACATAAAGTGATATACAGTATAAAAATTGCAAAGCATCTATATAGATATCGTTGTCTATACCAAGGAATTATATATTTAAAAGGAATGGAAACGCGGCTCGAGATCAATCGGGATACCCGCAGAGCACCCGCAGAGCTATAATCCATGTCTGTCTCAATCGGAAGTATGATGAATAATATAAAGAATCATGATGGAGGACCATTTCCTGTCATATAGATCGGTTTTTTTAATTCACGGGGTCATCTTGCTTGAGAAGATATAAAGGAGAGAAAAACCCAAAATCAAGAACAAACTTTTATTCCATGAAAAATGTAAGGCCTTAGGACTCATTTTAATGCCTCATCAAACATACGTTTGTAATATTGTATTATGAAAATTCTCATTAAAATAGACCTTGGTCTTGAAACTTGAGCGAGTTTCATCCGGATTACAAAACAAAAAGTACTGTGTTTTGATTTTTTTCTAAAAGCTCGACAACTACGAAGTGCAAAACAAAACAGTTGATATCATTATGAAGCTGAAACCTTATTCTATCATTTTGCCCTTTTTTTAAGTTTCTGGTAAAATTTCTGAATTTTCTACGATTTTTCGAAATTTCAGTTTTGAATTTCTTTATTCTGTCAAAATATGTCTATCAATCTGGGAGTGTACTACGATTTCTTTTAAATATTGGAAAGTAGAAAGAACAAAGTGAGAAAATGAGATATCATTTTAAAGAAGGAATATTTTCCTACAGTCTGAGTTTGGTCTAAATTACAAATGCTAAATGTAATTGGTACAATGTAAATGATTTTATTTCGAAACATGTTGAAAATTTGAAGTAGTGCGTCAATAAATACATCGACACTTCGTATTTTTGTAAGGGTTAAATAACTACTTGAAATAGATGTGACATTGACATACAACACAAAAGCTTAATCTTTTTTCTATCACATAGTGTTGGTTTTATGAAAATGGTGATAAAAACGAATTTGCTATGATTTTTCAAAATCCCATGTTTATAGTTCACATTGACGCCATTTTGTTCAGTCAAGTTCCACACCGACGAAGTCGGAAATTACAGGCAAGAAATATATATAAGACTTCCGATTGGGATTGATTTTGCCGTTTTATATACGATTTTATTCATTTATTTTTTTGTCAAATACTATTTTTTTATACTAAATCGTTGTTTGGTATTGCAGTTTGCCATTATTAAGCGTTGCCGCAAATTACCATACGCTTAACAGTAAAACAGTTCCTTCCTTTTTTCTCGCAGAGCAGTAGTCTAGAGGTCGCAAAAAAATATTCCTTCGGTGTTAAAATGAATAATATGCGAATGTG